CACCATTGTTGTACGACCAATATCACTCGACCAACAATGTTGATGTCATCGGTATCGCATAGCTGCCACCATCATCAACCCACTATCACTTGGTTTTTGCCACCGAATCATAATAGTTGTCACTGGAAAAAAGTTTGTCGTTTTTAGATTACTATCATCGTCATTGGATCACCATCTTTTGACTCCCACTATCGTTTGACTACTATCACTTATGTGTCCCCTAATCTCAGTTGCATGGTCGGTGTCACTACCATAGTTGTTTGATTACCTCCGTAGCTGTTGTCTGACCATCGTCCTCTGGTGGACGCCACTTCACTGTCATACTATCATAGTTGAATCGACTTCATCAAATCAACATAATTTGTCATCACTACTATTGTCGTCAAACCACTATTGTGTAGACATCTCCACAATCAATGATATGGAATTCATATCTCCATCACACAACGCATACCATCCTTCCATACGCAACCAAGTTGTTGTTATTTCCAAGCATTTTTTATCTCTCCTTTAGTTGGAGTTAAGCAAATAACTCTCCATTATTCAAGTGCAGATAAAATTTTATAATATATAACTAAATAGTGAAATCATTTTAATTTGGTTAAATCCCATTTATTTATTTTTTTCACAGTATTTCACATAAAAATTCATAATTGTCAAGTCTAGATTTGTCCGATAGACCGTGTCTAAGAAATACAGCGTGGAAATTAGAGAAAAAGTGAGAGAGCTGAAGAAAAAAAGAAGATAACTTGCCCCATCAGGAGCGAGTCAGGGTGTCCCTGGGCTTGTGAGCCTATTTTATTTCATTGAAAACTTTAGTTACAGGTGGGAGGAACAAAAAATGGACTCTTCTATATTATGAAATACTCTTATTTATAGGATATAGGATGTGTAAAAAATATATAAAAATTACATTTTAAGCCGTTTTTTAAAGAAAAGAAATAAATGACATTTAGTCTCTTTTATTTTAACGGTTAGATAATCTTGAGATTCGTGCAGATTCTTCAATACATTTTTCTTTTCCTTGCTTTGGCTGCTTTGTCCTTATCCTTTTATTTATTTATTATATGACCTGCACCTATTCTGCATATATTTTATTCACGCTTGCCAATAAAGATCTGTTGGCACTGCAAACCAAACGAATTAGATGGTATACATGTAATTTATATAATATTTTATATCTTATGTTTTATGCATGCCATTGTCTGATTATGAAATTAATCAGTCAGTTGAGAAAATTGGCAAGTCGAGTGACGTGAGGTAGTCGAAGAAGAGAATTCAGCCGACCGATTGACACGAGATAACCGAGAGAAGTATTATTACCTTCGACGATGACTTATTTTGGCTCGATGAGGTCTTAACACCATTTTTCATCTATACAATAATATTTTATGTATTAAGCAATCTTTTACTAATCCGTATACTAAATTTTAATGCAGTAATAACAAGTTAATATCTCACTTAACTGCCACAATTTTCTCGCATGAAACGAAGTTAAGAACATTAATTCGAATTCAATCTTGAGAGATTCTTCAATTTTTTAATGGACACGCCTGCTTGTTAGAGTACTTAATTCGATTATTTAAATAGTATTAATGTTTACATCTATGAAGTTTGATTAGGCAAATCATTAATGGTTGAAATATGACATGTCAGATGGGACATTTATTAGCAGGTGTGTGCACGTCCTGAATTGTGCATGATTGGCGTTGTAATGGCCCACACCTTTATTATAGTTAAATTTACAATCATACCATATAAATTTTATGTATTTATGTATCCATTACTTAAAAAATAATGCTTATATTTATAATATCATGATTTCATAAGCTTATATATAAGAAAATGAATTTAACTTTAAAAAAATATTCATGATAAAATTTTTACATAAATGTTTAAGTGTTAGATATGTAAATACATGAGAATTACGTGGCATGCAAGTAAATGCCTTTTTATTTTATTTAGTTTTTTTTTATTATTTTGATTAGCAATGAAAATAATTGGAGTCCATGCTTAGGGCCCGTTTGGGACAGCTTATTTGGTGCGGTGGCGTTTTGAAAACACTCCAGACCTGTTTGGATAAATTGCATTTTGGTAGCCTATGTGTTTTGAAAACGCTGAAAATAGTGTTTTCACACCGCACCTAACTAGATGTGATGACAGCTTTCTGACAGCAGTTTAATTTTTCCAAAAAAATAAAAATTTGTAATGGTCACTGCATCTAGCTTTTCAACAGATTACTTTTAATCATCTTATCAGCAGATTATTCAATAAGTTGCAGCTGCCTCAAACACAAACATAACCTTAGTATTATCTTGCTCAATTCGTTTATTTGTTTTTGTATGAAATGAGTCTTCAATTTTAATGGGAAGCGGGCTTCAAATTCTTATTTACATTTATGCATTGGGCATTTCGGTACATACCACATAAATTTTTATTTATTTACACATTTGATACATAAACTCTTATATCTATATGCATAACACTTAAAACTTTAAGTTCACATAAGAAATACCATCTTCATTTATTTTAAAAAAGTGATTTAAAATAAATACATAAAATTTACGTACATGTCACATACTTCTTATGTATTTACATATCTAACATCTAAAGTTTGATATTTACACTTAAGAACGCTAGTTAGAGTTACAAGGGTACTTTTCATATGAAATTAAAGATTTGAGTGACATGCACGTAGATATGAATGTTTAGGTGTTAGATATATAAATGCATAAAAATTGTGTTGTATGTACATAAAATTTCTTCAAATATAAGTATGAAAGTTTAGATGTTAGATATGTACATGCATAAAGTCATATGATATGTAAGTAAATTTCTCTATAATTTTACTTCATATTTGTTTTGCATTCTCACTTTTTTCTTATTTTAATATGTATTATTCGGCAAGATAATTATTTTTTTTGCTAACATATTTTCTCAATTATAGCTCGAGATAATGTATAAAACTTGTGAGGCCACATTCTTTCATTGCTTCAAGCCATTAATAAACACATTTCATTAATAAATATTGAAGGGCTTACAAATATACCACAACAAACTATATACATTAACATAAAACTAACAACAATATGCAAAAATACCATGGAAAGGAACCAAAATACACATTACATTCATCACAAATTAATACAAACTTATGAAAATGCATTGTGTTGTACCAATTTAGCTCAATATTTATACAAAGTTAAAATATAAAGAGCAAATGTAAAAATTATTGGTCATTGTCATCATCATCCTTTTACATTTTTAGCCCAATATTTATAAATAAGTGAAGGTAAGTTAAAAATATATTATTTACACTTAAAGAATGTTACAAAATATAAAATGTTGAGGGTGGTAAGCCTAAATATACCGTAGCTTGGAGGGAATTTTTAGAAGGACGAACGGGCCCAACGCCCAATGGTATCATTCCGTATTAAAAAAATAATAATTTTGTGCATATTTGAGATTTGAGAGCACTTTATTTTTCGTTTTATTTTTAAAATTTTAAAAATATGTTTATTTAATTTATTTTAACATAGTTTTATTTTTATTGATAAAACAAATTTATTTATTTAAAAAAAAATTTTAAAAAAATTAATGCATCTTAAGATAAAATATATTTTTTACATGTCAAATAATTTTATTTAAATTAAATTATAAATAAATGAAATAAAAAACAAAAAAAGTCTTTATTATTATTTTTTTTAAAGAAATATATAACAAAGCCTATGTCTTTCCACAGCTTATGTCTAAACTTCAAATCCAAAAAACTGGTTTTCTTTCTTAAAAATTGAAAAAAATGATTTTATTATGTAATATAAAAAAATTGTGTTGTACATAAAAAAATAATAATAATTGATAAATCATGAAAAAAATTTTATTATTTAATACATATCTCGATGCATGACATAAATCTTAATATAATTTTTTGAGCAAAGAACGTTCAAACTAAATTATAAATCTAAAATACATCCATAACAATACTAAAAATTGTCTGATCCGAGTCAAGTAAGTCGTTAAACCACATTTGGAAATTTCAATACATATTTGTAAGGTCATATCAATTCAAAATCTGACAAGTCTAAAGTTAAATCAAATGTCTCAACGAGATGAATCCAATAAACCGAAGATCCCTCAAGTCTTGCATCATTAAGGCACAAAATTCTTTTATCAAATGATATTTGATCGAGGAAATATCTTTGAGACATCTGAATTCCTTTCTTATTTGTAGAGATGCCTCTCAAATGATTTATAAATAGTCATAACCCCTGCCTTGCTCGCTATTGAGATGAGATCAAAACATTAGCCAGAAAAAAATAAAGCTTGAAGGAGCTGAAGTTGAACATCACTTTTGCATTGCAAATCCGAAGAAATACGTTATACTCTTGCAGTCGTTAACTGTTATCAAACATCATATATTAGTCATCGTCGACCACTCTCTACTAGTGGTAGTGAAGTTGCGAGCGGAGTCAAGACATGCATTGCAGGGTGACAAAGCACAACATGAAGCAACAATCAATCTCGTCAAGTCATAAAACACTTTATGAAGTACTGCATCATTCTGAATGTCATGTCAACCTCGAAGATGCGATAACAAAACTCTAATAACTACACGCTTAGACAACTAAACATCACTACCCACAGGTGCAACAAGCTCTTCTATTCTATTCACGACTAGTATAACTCGAGATAATGTATAAACTTTTTCCACCTGTAGGACAAATACTTGTTCATGTAATTACAAACTCATAGGACAACATTTAAATTGGACTCTACCCAATAGTATTTTCCATTTTTGAATTTTTCATATAAAAATTTATTGTATTTCTACCTATCATTCTTATTACATGAATGTGTGTTGAATTATTATGCAGCACTAAATATACACACAAATATAATAATAATAATAATAATAAAATTTATATTTTAGATATAAAAAAATTAGTGATATAAGTTAAATATTCCCTTTTTTTTAATATTAAAAAACTCTCTTTGACCAACAAACTTTCTTCCACTCCCTTCCTTCGCTTCTTCCCTTGTTGCCTTGTCCTTTGCAAGTCTTTTCACCCTCCTCGATTTCTCCACCACACCATGGATTCAACCTCCCCGACCTTCGGTACCCTATCAAAAACCTTCGTCAAGATCCTCCGCCTCCGACAAACCCCCTTCATCTCCGGCAACGCCGCTCTCGGCAAGCAGAAACTATCAGAAAACTTCAACGAGCTCTCAGCCGATCCCCATAACGAAATAGAACTCCTCGTCGCAAATCTCTTCGCCGGAGTCTCCGCCTTCAAGGCGGCATACGCCCAACTCCAGCTAGCCCACGAGCCGTGCGATCCTGACTTGATCAACTTCGCCGACCGTTCCGTCGTCACCCAACTCAAGCGGCTCTCCGAGCTCAAACAGGGTTTTTTAAACAGAGCAGAACTGAAACAGAGTTCGAGCAGATCTCAAGCACAAGTTCAGGAACAACGAAACCTTTTAAAGACTTACAAGATCATCACCGCGAAGCTGGAATCCGAACTTCAGGCGAAAGAATCCCAAATTAGCTCCCTTCAATCCGAGCTTCGTGTTGCCGAAAAGCAGTGCCGGACATTGGAAACCAGACTCCGACCAGGCCGGACCCTCGCCGCTCTCGACGACCTTCACCTCTCCGGCCTGAACCCCACCCACTTCCTCACCCTTCTCCGCTCCACTGTCAAATCCATCCGTTTTTTCGTCAAAATCATGGTCCGTGAAATGAAATCCGCCGGATGGGATCTCACCGCCGCCGCTGGGGTGATCCAACCGCTCCTACGCCGCCAACGGAACACCAACCACAACATCTTCGCATTCCAATCTCATGTCTCGCGAGTAATGTTTTCCAATTTCCAGCGCCAATGTTTCGGTATTGGCGGTCCGGTCGCGCCCGCCGAAGTTTCTTCTCCGAGTTCACGGAGCTCAAATTTGTAAATAATAAACAGAGTTTCGAACGACAATTACAATTTCGGAAGTTTTGCAGGGGTAAGTATTTAGGGCTGGTGCATCCGAAGATGGAAGCTTCGTTCTTTGGTAATCTGGAGCAACGGAAGCTGGTAAGCTCCGGTATGGGATCGCCGGAGACGAATTTCTTTGAGGGGTTTGCGGAGATGGCGAGGCGGGTTTGGCTTCTTCACTGCTTGTTCTTTTCATTCAAGGAAGAGGATAAAGGAGTCATCTTTCAGGCGATGAGGGGGAGCCGGTTCTCGGAGTTGTATATGGAGAGCGTGGCGGAGGAGGAGGATGAAGAGGGCAACGATGATCGTCGGCCGGCGGTGGGTTTCACAGTGTTACCAGGCTTTAGAGTGGGGAGGACGGTGGTCCAGTGCAGGGTCTATCTAGCATACATGTAACGAAGCCAAGTGGACGGTTAGGATGATTTCGTCTGGTCGTATTTTTGGAAAACGAAATTAAAAAGAAAAGGTCTTTGTATGGTTTTATGTACATCTTTACTTCGTAGCTTTGTAGATTTTCTTTAATAGTGAAGAAATGTTTTCTTAGAACATAGGGATCATACGTACGTTTAAAACTGAATAGAATTTTCTGCATTTCTTCATATGAGAATTAGCATTAAGTTCCTTAAATTTATTGTAGATTTACATACATGCCACTTAATGTTTATATATTTACATGTCTGACATTTAAACATTAATTTTTAAAACAGATCACCTTACTTATACAAGGAAAAGAGAGAGGTATTTCAATGTCTCAAAGTTTAAATGTTGGTATTTCAAGGCAGATGAACGGCCCAAAAGGATGATATTGATGATCAGACATATTTGCTAACGACTGTCTTGAGCTGGATATTGACAAGAGAGGCGTCTCGTTCAACCGATCGGCAAAACGTGTTAGAAAATATTCTGTAGGGCGGGGATCAACTCTCAAGACTATTGATAGGGAGCTCTTTTTGGATTAAATATTGATCAAGTTAAGGCTCACCTGATGATCGACACACTATTATTGATCGAATCGGTCTCTCGGTCTTATTAGATGCTAATAACTTTGTAAGTACCAAAAAATTCATTTGGAAAGTCAATGATGACGATATCAATATGTAATTTTATAATACTCGAACCTATGTCAATAAATAGAGAGTTTATATCATGAATAAATACTACACCTTTTACTATTCTCCATTGCTCTCTCTCTCTCTCTCTAATCACTTTATAGTAGAACGTTCTATTTCTTGGGTGTGCTTCTAAGACATTTTTGTATTCAACATCCTTTAAAGTGCAGTGATCGTGGAAATATGTTGTCAACAAGCGGAGAAGCCCAACAACAACAACAAAGAGAGTTCAGTCAGAGGAACATAGGAGATGCAGCATGCACTCGAAAGTTTATGAAAGAATTTGTTCAACAAGGCCTGCAAGATTTGAGAACTCAGATCACCAACTAGATGTTAGGAGAGTTCCTAGAAGTGCTTAAAGCGATCACTACCCCAGCAGCGGTTCCAATTCCATGAGAAGAGCCAACACGACAAAGAACACTCAACCCCACTCAAGGAGAACCATCAACCAACAATGAAAGGAGGGTAATTCACCTGTAGAAAAAGCTCGACGACGATTTATACCAAGACAACATCGAATCTGCCCCGTGGAGGAGAGAAATCGACCAGTGCTAACCGAGGTACAAAGGCAGCCGAAAAACGCCTTTCCCTTACGGGTATTCGGAGTTGAACCTCTAAAGAAGTTCAAAATTTTGGTCTTAAAACCATATAAAGGAGGTTGGATCCTAAAAACCACCCTGCATCGCTTGAATCGTCTATATGTTTGTTGAAAATTTATAATGCCCTCAAGGGTAAGCACTTTCTCACGACGTTGAGATTAACTACATTAAGTTGGTTTGAGGGGTTGCCCATGGAAGTAATCGCCTTCGTTGCAGAGTTCAAAATACTCTTTCTATCACAGCTTGCTAGTGCCCCGAGGTCCAAGAAGAGCACCCAATCCCTGTGGAAACTAAAGCAGGGCGCTAAAAAGAGCTTGCGATCATTTATCTTATGCTTCCAAAGCGAAACACTTGATGTCAAGGACTTGAAGTCCAAAGTGGCCTAGGCCGCGCCGACAAAAAGAGTGAGTTCAGAGAGATTTCATTTCGATCTCTAGCTATCATAGCCATGTAGTTTTGTCGAACTGCTTGAGATGGCCAACAAGAACATCACCGCCTATGAGAATGCCTCAGAAACAACCAAATAGAGACACCGGAAGAGGCCATTGCAAGACAGAAAGAGGCCCACAAGACAAAGTGCAAGGGCGATCATACACCCCTGCTACGAAGGTTCCCCTAGTAACAACTACACCCACCGTCACAAGGATCGGAGGAGATAAACGAAGGCCCCATACTCCTGATCGTCTTAGAACCAAGAATCCCGAGAAAATTTTGGAGTCCCTTAGGAAACCCCACTGAGGGTATCCATGGAGGAAATAGTGGACGTCATTCCAGATAAGAAATTCTTTAAGAAGGTGACGCCGATGAGAGCCGGAGCTTTCTTTCGAGATAGTTGGAAGCATTGCAAGTATCATAAAGACCACAAGCATGGCACAAAAGAATGCAGTCATTGTGAAACATGATCAATATACCGATAGATGAGGACAAATTAAAAGAATTTGTCGCCCCTAGAGCCACAACCCAAAGGCAGGGAAAGGCTCTCGCAGGAGAAATGACTGACGATTCCATTTCCACCAGCACTATCCACATCGCAGGATTTGTGTCTGCAATCTTTTGAGGAAGCTAACTACTTAGGAGGGCAAACCGGAAGAGAGAACAAATGAGAGAACTTTGTGTTACAACCTTTACCTCTAAACCTATGGGCCATCCTCCTATTTTACTTTACCAATGAGAATCTCCCCCCAAAGGGAAGCCCATATGATGACGCCATTGTAATAACAAAAATAATAAAAATTTATCAAGTAGGAAGCCTCTCATCAATACATAGAGTTATGTGAATGTACTCTTTAAGCAAGTATTCAACAAACTGAGCTGGCCGGTCTGTTGTATGGATTCTCAAGAGAAAGCAATGAAGCACTAGGAGTGGTCGGGCTTTCGGTAACTTGAGGAGAAAATGAGAAACAATTAATGGTCATGAAAGATTTAATCTTAATGAATTCACCCCAACATATAATGCTATATTCGGTCAACCGTTATTGAATGATTTCAGAGCAACAGTCTCTACTTACCATGTTGTTGTCAAGTTTCCTGGAGATGGAAAAATCATGACCGTTAGGGATGACCCGAAGCAGTCCCGGGAATGCTACTTACGAGCCATAAGCAATGTGAAGCACAATCTTTTGGACATCCAAAATGCAAGGGAAGGTGGCCTCGAGACTAACGAGACCACCCGTGAGGTTCTGACGGTCGAAGGAGAACCAAGTAGGTTTTCTTATAAGTGTTGCTTTTGATGCAAGTCATAGGGAGCTGCTTGTCAGGAACAAAAAATCCCACATCGACTAGGTGTAGGGCTGAAAAACAATATTTAATTCTTGGGCTGCTCCGAATAGCTCTTTTGGGAGGTGACAAGTGGTATCAGATCAGATTACTGCCTGTCAGGTGTGTGGACTCTCCATGGTCTAGTGAGATCCTCGGTGGAGTCGATTCGTGATGAGGGCGTCACGTGATTGGGTGGAGGAGAATGTCACAGACAAGTGCCACATCAGTTAGGAGTAGGGCCGAAAAAGCAGTATTTAAGTCCTAGGCTGTCCACCATTTCGAAGAGCTCTTTTGGGAGGTGACATGCTGGTCCAAACCCTCAGAGAGAAATCAAGATGTTTTCGCATGGACGACTGTTGAGATGCCAAAAATGCCAATCGAAAACGCCTGCCACAGATTAAACGTCAACCCGTTGACTTGACCCATGAAGAAGAAGATTAAAAGTTCGAACATGATGTTCAAAGGACCTATCCGAGAGGAAGTACAAAAGTTGGTGGAGACGGGGTATATTCGAGAAAGTGCAATACACCGCTTGGGTCTTCAATGTGGTGATGGTGTAGAAGGCCATTGAAAAATGGAGGATGAGCGTGAACTTCACCAATCTAAACCCAACTTGCCTAAATCACTCTTATTCTCTACCAAGGATTGATGCTCTAGCGATTCAACAGTCAACTATTCAGTGCTAAGTTTTCTCAAAGCATTCTCCGGGTACCATCAGATCAAGTTACACCCAAGATTTATTTATAATGGTACAGACACAAAAATCCAGGGAAGTCTTTTATTGCGCAATTATGTCATAATTATTTCATACATGTTAAAAAGATTCTTCTATCCTCGTGTACTGTGCAGCTTCAGAGGAACAAGAGAATTGAAGAATTAGATATGCATATGTACAAATATGCTAGCATGAACCTCAAGACAAATAAACATCTCAGAAGAATGATACTAATTACCATACAAATCTGTTGATAATTGTCTTGAGCTGGATGCTTGTGAGGGAGGCGTCTTATTCGAGTGATCGACAGAATGTGCAAGGAGATGTTCCCTAGGGTGATCAACCCTCAGGACCATCGATAGGAGACTCTCTTCTGGATTATATATCGATCAAGTCAAGGCTCACCTGACAGTTAATAAACTATTATCGATCAAATTAGTTTCCTGATCTTATTATATGCTAATAACTCTGTAATTACCAAAAAGTCCGTCTGAAAAATTAATGATGAGGGGACCTATGTTTATAAAAAGGATCTATATCATGAATAAAGACTATACTATCTTTTACTATTCTTCGTTTTGGCCTCTCTCTCTCTTTAATCATTTCATAGAATAATGCTCTATTCTTTAGGTGCGCATCCCATACACTTTTGGATTCAAAACATATGAATGGTTTAGCTGGTATAAATGTAAAAAAAAAAGTTTAAATGTAAGATGTATATATACAAAAAGAATTGGGTGGTATAAATGTAAATGCCCCTAAATTTATATAAAAAAGTTGTATTGGTTTAATTTAAATTAATGAGAAAATATTATTAACACAACCCATTCAACAATTCTAAATTGATCAGTGTTGGTGGCGTACGACAATATTTTGGCACTAATTATTGGGATTTACAAAGACATCATAAAATTATTAAGAATTTTTATATTTAATATTAAAAAAAAATATTTTTTATATTTTGTTGCCTTATATTTATATATGTAAGATGCAATTAAAAAAAAAATAGTAGTAGCATTTGTTATGTGATATTAAAAAATTGTCATTAGATATATAAAAATTGTGTGTTATGTATGTAAATGCCCCGTATCAAAATTGGCCACTATAATTAAGAATATTTTTATATGATTAAAATATATTTAATTTGCAGATTAATAAAATAAAAAACCGTGTTCTGTATGTTTATACTTAAAAAAAAAAACAATTTTTTAATTTAAATTAATTTAGAATATTTTATATTTGAGTACAAAAATTCAATGGGCTTCAAATGGTTAGATACATAACATTAATTGGCTGTCTTATTTTATTTTATTTATTTTGCATTTATAGTGCTGTATTAACCTCAATTTAATAATAATTTATTATATCAAAATGTTTTTTTGAAATTAAAAAAATATGGGTAGGAAATATTGACCTGAGTTTCAAACCAAATAAATTTATTTCATAATAAATGTAATAGGGTGGCAAATTATGTAACAAATTTGAGGCCATGTTCAGAATTCGTAATTTTTTTTTCTAGAAAAAAATCGGGTTAGAAAATTCAGAAAAATTCTGAATATAATAAATATTACAACTTTTAAATTAAATTTAAGATAAGCGAATAGAAAATTAGTTTATGAAATTTATAATATATTTGTACAAAAAAAAAAAAAAAATAGCGTATGGAGCAGAAGAGGGAGAAAGAGAGGAAGAGAGGAAGATAGTGCATAATAATCAACAATGAAATAAGAGAACTGTTTAACATTTTATTCATAAAATTAACTTTATTTATAGACAAAAGTAGTGTAATGAGTGAAGTTACATTTATGCTCCTACTTTGGTGGGTTTGTACAAGTTATTCTAGGTAGTATTGGGCTCGACTAGCTGTGATTGGCAGAATTTCATTGAGCTTTGATAGTTGACTAGATCCAGTAGGCATCGCCGGTTGGTTTTACTATTGAAATATTGACGGCTACAACTGGGGAGTAGGTGATTCGGTTTATATTGTCGGGAAGTTAAGTATGCAGATGCTGCTGATCGACCTGTCCTTTGCTGGCTAAGAGTTGGTAGAACATATTAGCTAATTATTGACGATCAGGTTGAAAAAAAACTGCCATCAGAGCAAAGTTAGGTTGTCAGGGAGAGGGTAAATCACCATAATCCGCCATGTAGCTCGCCCTTATACAAATAAATCTTGTGGGAAAGCTGTTGGTCATCCGCAACATAATCATATGATTTGGGCTTAATTGCATCGTAGTGTTGGATTCGAGTGATCATTTTGTCTTGTGCCTGGGTGAACCGTTTGGCTCGTGTCACATAATCATCTTTATAACACTCGATTTTGAGTTTATTTCATATAGTTAAACGTCTGAGTCCTCTGATTTTTATGCTAACACACTCTGATATTCTTTTTACCTCCTAGATCGTTGGATCGCCTCGAGATTCTTACTTTTATAATTTATGTGTACCCTAAGATAATATGCAGATTATAAAACAACTAGAATTGAAATGGGTTAGTTTCGGTTTAAATCCGAACCCGACCCGTTAATAAGAATAGTTAGGGGCTATTGGGTTAGTTTGGTATAAAAGGTATTGCCGCCATTTATCGTCTTCAATTTATTTGTCTCCTGTAGGCTTCAAATTTGCCCCGTCTGGCTACACTGGAAGAGGCGAAAAGCATCGCTAGGGTTTCCTCCGATTTTCCATTTGATCGATACCGTTCCTAATCGCGATCTCAGTTTATTGATCTAGTGATCGGGTTCTGCTTTGTCTCTCGAGGGAGTCCCGGGGGTACGGTCGGCGTCGAGCTTTCCGTTTATCCGATTCTCTACGAGTTGCATTCCAGCAAGCTAATAGGTTATTCCCAGGTGCAAAGTATGAAAACCCAATTTCAGCTCAGTTTCTTAAGATCCGAGCACTGAGAACGATTTCCTTATTGTCAATCGCTGTTTATGAAGAGTAAGTTCGAACTTGTAACTGTTTGTGTTTTCTCCGTCTCGTCTACTGGTTATCTATGTTGCTGCAAATGCTTTGTAATTGAAATCTCTCTGGAATTTACCTGAATCTTATGCATATAGAACTTGTATTCTGTTGAATTAAAATCCATATGACAATGCTTGCATTTGCACATCTATTTGGTTATCTTTTTTTCAATACCCCCCATTACTTCAAAATTTTGTTAATATTTAAGCAGGCATTCCTTAGTTTAAAGTTCCATCATGTTAGGGATCGGTTATAAATATTTGCACTGTTTTAAACTTCTTTTATGATGGTAATTAGCCCTTGCAATAGGGTCCGTCTACATGCAATCAAGATGTGGGATTTGTCTTAATTAGCTATTAAAATAAATCCCTTCTTCTCCCTTCGTCTCATGAAAATCTTGCAGTTGTTTATTGTCCTTGTTAAATAACCAAGATACTGGTTTTTTGTCCAGCATAGCCATTTGAATTATTTTTTCTTTGTTATTATTGTTATTATTTTAAGTGTGGTATGAATTTTGTATAGGCGATAGAAATTTATGGCTTAATCTTCTTTAATATATATTTCTAGGTCATATCATCAACATCATCCCAATGGAAGCAACACGGAGTGTAAAATGAGGTGCAATGCATGCTGGCGGGAGTTGGAAGGTCAGGCGGTTTCAACAACCTGTGGCCACCTTTTGTGTATCCAAATAAATCTTGTGATTAGCGATTTCAAAAAGGTTTACATTTGAATAAAGGCCCATAAAATTATGTACATTCTCAATATCCTTAATTAGTGGAGTAAGGCACAGAAGATGCTGGAAAGATACTTAACAATGATGGTGCATGCCCAATTTGTGATCAGGTTCTCTCCAGGAGGTATTTAATTTTTAATTTTCTTACACTCTGGAAGTAGAGTTCATGGAACTTATCAAATGTTGTTCAACTTGTTGAATAATTTATAGTCTAGCGTAGCTCAGAATAATTATACCAATTGCTCTGTAATGAAACCTTTGATTATATTGCTCGTTCAACATATTGAAGCATATAAATAGGAAATAGTTCTGCATCTATCTGAATTATTTAGTTACTTCAAAATTTTCATTTTCTATTAATTATTGATGCATTACATTAGATGGCCATTCTTTTTCCTCTTTTACATATATAGTCTTTTAAATTAGGAATTACTTTTCTATTGTTTGTGATACTTATCCCAATCCCTGATAAAATGATATCTAACAGATTTATTGTTTTTTTGTCTGGCAGTCACTTGCGACCGGTGGATATCAATCCAAGTGATGAATGGACAAATGTAAGAAGAAACTGTATAAGCAAAGCTTAGAAGTTTTGGAACTTTATCCCCTTCTGATTATAAATTCTATTTTAGATGTCAATGGCTGGAGTATCTCCACAGATACGTATCCTATACTTAACTGATAATTTTTTTTTTGCATGTAAATTTTGCCATATTATGTTTGGAAAGTTAAAGCAAGAAATACCTTTATGTCTTAGCTTAGTTTCTAAAAAAACACCTGATCCATAGCTCAAATGCCTAAGCTAAGGTATTGTTTGGTACGCTGTGAGCTCCATGCATTGTCTTTCCTCATATAGACTGTCTGACTAATCACTTGCCAAGAGAGGTGTCAAATACCACTACAAATTCATTGTGATGGTGTTGGTGAGTTCTATCATGTCAAAATTCAAACATTCCGTGTCAGAAAAGTACTCACTTGTTTATGTTTAAGTGATAATGATTTTGACAAATTATAAGTTTTTATGGAAGTGACTATGATTTGGACACAACTAATGAATTTTAGTTTTTTCATGAAAATTTGGTTTGTTAGCCTTTTATGTTTAATTATTTTTATAGATTAGTTTCACTCAATATCATTGAGTTTGTTAGCAATTTAATAACAATTTATTAGTTGTTTTTTAATTGTTTGTTATTACTTAATTAGTAAATTGTTAGCCTTTCATTCAAGTTTCCTTATTTTTTATATCTATAATATGATAGTTTGGAGTCATGCTAGATAGTTTATATATTCAGTAAAATTGTTCTTTTGGATGCAATGCTTTTCTTCTTCATCGTCTATTCCTTGATTTAATCGTCGATCAAATGTGAAATTGAAACCCTTCTGAGAGAGATTATTTCTTTGTTCAAGTGTGAGATTTGATTATATTATTACTTTTATTAATCATTTAACACTTTTCATTACCTTTTAGTTTATTTTCAGGCTTCTTGCATCAAATTGGTAGTAGGGCTATGGGTTTGAATCATTTGGTAATCAAGAACACTTTGATATCAAGCTACATAATGTTTCTCCAGTATCTTCTCTTTCCAACAATACTTCATTAAACCAATCTATTCTACATATAATCTACACAAAGTTAGCTTTATCGAAATTCAAATTTGAATTCGAAGTCCTAATCAACCTCTGTATTAATTCCTAAACTTCCTCATTAAAACTTGTTAACATATCAGTAACAAACCTTTACAAATTTAGATATATCTTAATCTTTTTTGAGCCAATCTTATCAAACACACCCCCAAAAAAAGAGAGGAGGAGGAGGGGGGGTGGAAAATTGGTAAAAGAGAATAACAAAATCCATCTAAATTTCACATTCATTTATGAATCTCCAGAATTTTTTGACAAGGCAATCTACTTTCTTCTTCAAGGCATCCATCTACTTCTGCTAAAGAGATTTAACATAGTCAATCTGAGCTCATTATTGTTCTTTCATGATTGCATTGTACTTTATATGTGGAAGTACATCCATTACTTGGATGATTCGTAGTTGATGGATCTTAATATGTTTTTAAATATATCATATTTACCATTCTTTGTAGTAGGTTGTTTTGCAGCTGAGGAAATTGATGTGGGTATAAAATATAATTTATTTATTTGTAATGGATATTTGACTTATTTTGTCATTTATTTTTTTTTTATATTATTAGAGTTATTTTTCCAATGCCATTAAGTTCATTAGCATTTTATTAACATTTCATTATATTTGCTACATTTTAGCAGACATAGCTGTAAAAATTCCTTTTCTTTACATAAAATTCTGTAAGATAACAAGAAAACTATAATTAAAGAGAAATGTGACGATAATCTATGAACTTTTAAGAAAGAGTTTCCTAATACACACAAAGCTTAACCTAGGAAAATAAGGATTTGCTCAACGGTTGAGCACCATGTATACTAACCACAATGCAACATGATGGTCCAGGTCATGTTTAAGTTAAGACTTGTGGTTTAATAAGGTTGATCTTGACCTAGAGTTGACTAAGTTGTGCTTAATTGACTTCTACTGGTTAGGGGATTATAGCTGCGGGTCATCGATCGGTTGATCCCACTTAGATACTTGATAAGCACAATTTAAGTCACATGGCCTCAGTTATTAAAGGTGTTAGGTGCCGCCTTCTAGGAAACTTGATCGGCTAACTTTGCTCAAGGTGCTAAGCACGAACCTTTGTTCTCTCTTGAGCAAAATGAGATGCTAAATTTTTTAATATTTTAATAATGGTGAATACGTTTGGAGAGATAATATTATAATCATCACCATGAAATAATAAAATATTGTTGAAAGGATAATACTTTTAAGTTTTGAGTCATTCATGGTACCAAAATAATACATTATTGCCAAAAAAAAAAGTCTAAAATAAAGTCTCCACAGGGCCTATAAGTTATGTTTCAAATCTAACAAGTAAATAACAAATTTAAATTGGTTACTATTTGTTAAAATTTAAAATAAAGTGGAATAAAACATAATTCAAAATAATTTCATTGATATGAACACTTACAAGAATCCTAGAATAGGAAAAATAATAAAAATAAATAACATGAAAAGGAAAGATATGTCACCAAATATCTTCAATAATCAAACCATACTTAATCTAAGGAAATAATTTATTCCTCATAATTTTTCACAGGAATAAATTATTTCCTAGTATAACCCCTAACACTTCCCCTCAAGTTGAAACATGATTGAAAACCAGGTTCAACTTGGATTTGAAAACTCCAAACAAAGGGCGAGGAAGATCCTGAGGGGTAGAGCTTGAAGTCTTTATCTCACATTGCGTTTGTCTTTGACTGCAGTTTCTGCAGTGTTTGTAGGCTGGCGGAAGACTCCAATAGGTAATGTTGCAGGGGATTTCACAGGGAAGTAGACAACAACGATTGCAGTTTCTGCAATGTTTGTAGGTAGACGGAAAACTCTTACAGGTAATGTTGAAGGAAAATTTGTAGGGAAGTAGACAACTGTGATTGTCTTTTGACTGCAGTTTCTACAGTGTTTGTTGGTAGACGAAAGACTTCTATAGGTAGTACTGCATGAGAGTTTGCAGGGACGTAGACAACCAATAGGAAAAACTACAAGGTACGACCTGCAGAAAAAAACAACTAAAGAGGTAGGCCTCGTTGCAAGAAAAGGCTCCAGAGGAGGAAGTGTTGGAGGAAGAATTTAGGTGGAGGGCCTGTTGCAGTGATAATTTTGAAGAGGGCCAGATACAGGAAAAATTTCAGAGGATGGCCTGATGCAAAAAAAGGCTCTGGAGGAGGGCCTGATAGAGAAAAAGCTCCAGATGAGGGCTTGATGCAAGGAAAGTTACGGAGGAGGGTCTATTGCAGGAAAAACTATGGAGTAAATCCTGCTGCAGGAAAGGCTCTGGAGAAAAGGTCTGCTGCAGGAAAAGCTATGGAGGAGGTTAATGCATTAATGTCCATAACTTTGTCAAATGCATTGAAGCACATCATGATGAATCTAATAAACAAACAGCTAAAGCATATGGTTGTCACGTAGCCAACTTCATTCAATTTCTTGAGCCTTCTTTTCGATTCTACGGGAAAGTGTTGCAACATCAAGAAAAATCCTTCCACTATAATGAATGAAACCAAGGGCAACAAGAAATGAGGCACATGCAAAAAAATATCTTGGACAAGACGATAATGACTTGAATGGGCTTTCACCACATAAACAACCATGAAACACTTGCACTAAATAAACCATTGCATGATCTATATAAAAAGTTAGTTTAAGGCCATCACTGGAAACTCCTGCCTGGTCATATATCCACCAAATGCCCTTACTATTGTAATGGAAACCAGGGCGATGGCGCCAATCAAGTAACTTAGGGTATCAGGGAAGTCGAACTGCTTGGAAACGAGGAAGCCAGACTGCTACAGGGCACAGTTACCAATATACAACGGGAATGACCTGAAGGAAGGCAGCGAGACAGTTGCACCTCAAGGGAAAGTTGAAATAAGGAAAGCCTGACTGTTGCAGGGAATAGGTGCAATAAAAAATAACGGGAAGGAAAAAAGGGTCCTCCTTTCATATTTTCGGTGGCTGAAAATATGGAGGGAAAACAATCAGGAAAATAGCTCCCCATTTCCCGGATTTCTCTGGCGGGAAGAGAGTCGCCCAACACACCTCTGGGTTTATAAAGTTTTGACAGCTGAAAAAAGTATGGAGGAGGGAGACCCGACAACAAGGAATAGATTTGTCCGCAACATTAAGATGCCTTAGGATATTACCTTTTAAAACCAGATTCGAGATTTCCATTAGAAAGAGAAAACTTGAATCTGATTTTTCCTCTCTGGAAGCTGATGGTAGGCGCATGTCACAGCTTGCGATTGCGGGGGGCAGTCGTAGTTGGTGATCACAGAGGTAATGCGCAGGTCGACGAGAGATCCACAGAGGTAGACCAGAAAATTGTTTTGGAATAGTTGGCTCTCGCGGCTTGGGATTGCAAAGGGCAATCACAACTTGGGATCGCACAGGATGGGTGCAGTTCACCGAGAGATGGATAGGCCGCAAAGATTTCCACCAGAGAGAGAAAAACACTGTCAAATTGTTGGCTCCTGCAAAGGCAGTTGTGGGTTGGGATCACAAACAAAAGATATGGGTTGGGATCATAGAGGGCTGTCACAACTCTACTTTCCTGCAAGGCCGCAGCTTGTGATCGCAGCGAGGGAGGACTTGCAGATCCTTGACGGAGAGAAATAGTCCCTCTCTTCCCGCAAGGATGAGGGCTGAAACAGAGTCCAATGACTCTCAAATGACAACCAATGGCTAGGGTACGAAATTTGACTTGGATATCATGTTAAAAATTCAGAATAAAGAGTAATAAAATGAAATTCAGAATAATTTCATTAATATGAATGTGGGTGTAAATAACCCTTATAAGAATCCTAAAATAGGAAAAATAGTAAAAATAAATAACATGAAAAGAAAATATATATTACCTAATATCTTTAATAATTAAATCATGTTAACTATTTGGAGATAAAAGAAATAACATAAAATAGGAAAACATAAAATTAGAAAGGAAATAACTCTTAATTTAAGGAAATAAATATAAAATATGAATGAAAATAACACCTTAATCCAAGGAAATAATTTATTCCTCATAATT